GTCCCTTCCGACCCTAGAAACTGTGAAACTATGAAACACGTTATGGGGAACCAAACAGAGGGGAGTCTCTGTGGCTTGGTGCCAGACTATGACTGCCATCTTCCTTGGGGCAAAAGGGCGTCTAGATGCTCTACTTACGAAAGTATTTACAGCAACTATTTACAACCAACCACGCTGACACTGAGACCCCCAAATGCTGCGCAGCAGAAGTCCAGCCTAGAACTCAGACCACGTAACCTCTTTGGTCAGGGGCTGCAACATGAATCTATGGCTTTCTGGAGGCTGTGCTTACCTCTCTCTTCATGGTTTAAAATTTTTGTTCATTTAAGCCGCTTATCCCTTGACAGCACATCTTCAGGAGAAGGAGCAGGACAGGAAGGTAGCAGGAGAAAAGGTCTCTCTGTGCAGCTAGACAGGGTCTCTGTCACTGCATATTTGGGAAATTGCGTCCCAAGTTACTCTGGAGGTCCCATGAACCTTCCTCTGGCAAGGGAGATCTCACACAAACTCTATGAGGTGACCTTTGTTTAATTTCCTTACCTTCTGGCCACCTTCCCACCTATGAGTATGATCCTGTTCACAGGCAAATCTCAATTTAGGGGGAACCACAAGGATGCCAGATCTAAAAAGTTCTGGGGAAAAAAAGAGTTGACCTTATGCTTAAGTGTTCTGAAAGCAGTGAAAGGATTAACATCAGTGCAATGTTGAAGCGAGGTTGCGAAGCCCACATGTGTCTGGAAAGAAGGTTGTGATATACATAAATAATAAGTAATTAAAAAAGCAGGAGACTGGGATTCTAATAACCCCCCAATGGAGTGTGTTAGGTGGATTGACCGTTTATGTACCATATTTTCTTGCATATAACACATCCTATACACCTTGTTTTTGAAAGGCAGAATGAAGAAAAAAAGATCATTTCTTGTAGTAAGTGAGCAGCAGGAGCTAGAGAGCTGAGCCTGCTTATTGTTCTGCTGCTTGCCCAACACTGGCAGAAACTGCTCTTACTGTTTTTCTCACAGATAATGATCACTCTAATTTCCAAACCATGTTTTTTGGAGGGGGGAGGGAGCGTGTGATGCATGTAAAAAATCAGTATACAAGAGGAAAGTGTCACCCAACATGCTGGTGGACAGTGTGTGGTATATGTGTGTGACAGTGCCTGCAGCTCACAAACAAGCAAAGTTTTTAAATGAAGCTGTCATGACTGTAAATGGCACTTTTTGAAATAAGCTCTGTTCATGTTCCTGCACTGGCAGTGAGAGATGGATGAGGTGACTTAGAAGTCTCTTTTATCTGTAACATCTATGAATGTCACACAGCCTGCTTGCGGCAGATTTCAGTAGCATCCACCAACAGCTTCTTGTAGTTCTCTCTCTTATTTGGACAGCTTAGCTTAAATGTTTTTGCACCCAATTTAAGTTCTCAAATGCAGAAGACAAGTTGAGAACAGCCTTGGACAATCACTTTTTAAAATCAGCAGGCATAGATAAGACAAACAAATATTTCAAAGTGTCAGCTACCTGCTGGTTTCTGCTTTCCTTGGTGATTATGTAGCTTTGGAAGTATAAATGACTAGTTTGTTCATAAAATCTAATTTGCTGAAACAAAATTTCCAATTAAGCTTTTACAAGGAAGATGATATTTAGGACCAGATCCTCAAATGGTGTAAGCCTGTGTGTCTATATGAAAGTCAACTATTTATACCAGGAATGGGCCTGGCTCTCAGCAGAAACATGGCCAGCTAGCACTTCAATGTTATAAGCTAATATAGGGTCCTAGCAGGGAGATGGTCAAGAAATAAGGTAAATCAGAAGGAAAAACATGTTAGATAATCCACATATGTATCAAGTTCCCCCTTGAAATAGCTGTAAAACAATTTCTTCCTCCTTGACTAAACAAGACCATTCACGAGTCACTTCTTAAAAAAAAAATCTGCAATACTTAATGGCATTGTTAATCCTTAAAACAATGCAGTATGTTAGATCCCGGGCATGCTGCTGAAGTTGTCAGTATCTCAGGCAAAATGCAGAATCATGGTCTAATGTTTTTGAGCTTTCCCCTCAACACACTGAAATCAGCAGTGAAGCTCCTGTTGGTCTTCATGCTACAGAATCAGTTCCAGAATTGGTAACCAGAAAATAAACTGATGTTTGTCTGTCTTGTTTTAAAAAGCATGTATTTAGTAGTAGCTGCTCCAAACATCTATTCTGCTACTAGCTTGGGATTTTACAGGTTTCCCTCGCTTTATGCTGTATATGCATTCCTGGAAAATGGTGCAAAAATGGAATTTGCATAAAGGAAACCCACTTTACAATGTAACAATAGGGATGCGTTCCAAGACCTTGACTGTACTGACCCCCAGACCCATTTCTACCACTTTTATGAGACAATTTTGGTACTCGCCAACAGCAGATAGTACACACAAGTACAGGGTGGTGGTGAATGTTTAGTTGGTGTGAAGAGAGGGTGGTGAAGGATCTTCAGTATCAGACTCCACATCACTGGTGGACCAGGGAGAGGGGGAGGAGATAAGATAGCGGGACAGTTAGAAGCCATAATGGGGATGGCAACTACAGAAACACGTCACGGACAATGAGCAAGGACCACAGATCCACACAGGAGACTATATTTTGGTGCGTGTCATTCCCACAATGCACTGCACAAGCAGCTGACTGGGGGCTTCCACCACACTGATTGCATAAGAGTGAATTTACCTCTTATATAACAAATTTTTGGTATAAAAAGAGTCATTGCATAAGAGCAAATTTGCACATACAGAGCTCGCATAAAATAAGAGAAACTTGTACGTTGTTTGTTGAAGGATGGGGGTTAATAAAAAGAATTTCCATTAAGACTTTTCTTGTATGGTTTATAATGATAATGGAACCCATAAATGATATGAATAATAGGAAAACAGCCAGGGAATAGCAGGAGCTTAAGAGGAAGCCTGGGTGCGTCTACACAAGACGCTTTACTGTGCAGTAGAGCTAATTACTGTGCAATAAATGTCCACATCTACACATGCAGATGCTTACTGCACAGTAATTGACTCTAATCACAAGTAAATTTGCTGCCTGCATATGCAAGAAGCAAATTTACTCGAGATTACTTACTGTGCAGTAGTGCCTCACCAGGAGCAAATGTGCTCCAGGTCAGCTGGGCAGCAGGGGGCAGGAGATTGCTCCCTGTTTCCAGGAGCTGCCTGCTTCTGGGGCAGGTTCTGCCACCAGAGCCCCAGTGGGGACAATGTCCCCCTGCCCCGGAAGCAGGGAGCTCCCAGCCCCTGCTCTGTGGTTGCGGGGCTGGTTCTGGGAGATTTGTATTTCCCAGCCAGAGTCCTACAGTTGTGGGGCTCAGGCTGGGAGATCCTTCTCTCCCAGCCTGGGTCCCACACCTGCAGGACTCCCACAACTGCAGGACTTAGGCTGGGAGAGAAGGATCTCCCAGCGCCAGCCTGTCAACTGTGGAGCTGGCTCTGGGAGATAAGGATCCCCCAGCCTAGGTCCCACAATCGCGGGACTCAGGCTGGGAGAGAAGGATCTCCCAGTGTCAGCCCCAAGACTGTGGAGCTACCATTGGGAGACAAGGACCTCCCAGCCTGGGCCCTGCGATCACAAGGTAGGAGCTGAGAGCTCCCTGCTGCTGGGGCAGGGGGACATTGAACCCACCCAGGCTCCAGTGGTGGAGCCCACCCTGGCAGCAGGCAGTTCCCAGGGACAAGGAGCAATGTCTCAGCCCCTGCCAGGAGCCCACTGTCTTCTGGCCCCTGGGCTAGCACCCAGGAAGAACCTAGAGCTCTCCTTGCTGCTGCAGGGGCCTGTTGTTGGGCTACAGGGAGCAGGAGCAGTCTGCTGCTAGGAGCAGCAAATCTGCTCCCACATCCCTGCATGTGTACACATGTGCCTGGAAGAGTTTACTCTCCAGTAGTTCACTTGAGAGTAAACTGCTTCTGGATTATTTGCACATATAGACATGCCCCCTGAGAACTCTACACAGAAACTGTATTTACATGGTGATGGCAGAGGTGAGAGGAAAGAACTAAATTACATGAGATTAAGGCAAGGGGTTATCATCTAAAATTAAACATAGAAACATTTGTATTGAACTAGAAATAAAAGCTAAGAGTGGGGATGAGTCAAGCGTGACATAACTTTCTCAGTTCAGAGATCAACTGCCCTCATCTCCAGAAGTGTTCAAGAATAAGTTAGACATTTTTATGGTGAGATTAATATTTTAGAAAACCTTCTGTGGTTCATGGACATAGGCTAAATAAATCAAAAAGTCCTTTCCAGCCCTGACCATCTACAGATCTTCTGCACAGCCTTAATTACGTCAGGGAGTTCTAGTAATATCAACAAATGTATACTGAAATAAGAGGAGACATATAATGGTAAGCTATGTCACACAGGTTGAAAAGTGATTGACTATGAGGATGAAGTACTTGAAGCCACACATTGAAAACACCGTTGTCCTTTGACACAAAAAGTTTTAGCGTAAGCAGAAATGTCAACCGTATGCTATATATTATTTTAAAGTGTTGGGCTTTTGTTATATTTTACTTTAACAACACTGGAACTTAATTTAGTCTTGGAAAAGGCTTCTGTTTTTGAAGGAGAGGATGACATGACTGTTGACCACTGACATAGCTTCATCAATACTACCAGTAGCCTCTGGAAGTGTGACTGTTAGCTTGTATCCCTCATTTTCATTTTTAGAGTTCCTTTTTTACTCCTGAATACTTATGACCCTGTCCCTGGGAGTGTTTAAAATTGTTTTTAACTTCACACTACTTTAAACCTTTGTTTACCTCCATGATTTGTATCATAGAATGCAGATGGCAAACCTATGAAACAAAAAAGTACAACAAATACTGCACTAAGTGTGGAAAAAGTTTAAATGTCTCAAATATGGGGTTGCTTAGCCCCAAACCTATTGTAACAAAGGATGCTCTGAGACTTCCATTTACAACCCTTGAGAAATACAATTGAATCTGTTTCAACCAATGGCTCTGGAGTTGATATTATGTCAACACTGATGCCATACAAATTAATTAGAAGAGATCATCTGGGAACATCTTTGTAGGCCAAATCTTGAAATTCAGTCAGAATTTTGCCCACCTAACAATTTGGTGAGTTCTGTTAGAGAAAGGACTTCAGGATTCAGACACATATTATATGAATGTATATTTCCACTTAAAGCTAAAATACTTATTTTTTAAGCTTTCTGGTCAGCATTTTACTCACCAAATAAATTATGCCATTGTCACTGTCATGTCCTAACAACAATAACACCAGGGTATAGCGTATGGCTTTGGGTTTTTCTGTCATCTGATTTTAGGAATTTTTTTTATAGATTCTTCACGTTTTTACTGTCTCCCCAGAATCGTATCTGCTGCACTCATGTAGAGCACACCATTACATATACAAGCCTAACACAAGCTGATCAGCAAGCATGAAAGTTGGCAATGCTTGTTCCGCCTGGTATACAGGGTTAAGTCTGATCACAGCAAGAGGTGCTGAAACATTTGCAGGCTGGGTTGTGATTCCGTCTGCAAGCACTGATTTGGTCCATGAAACTGCAGCAGCCAACGGTTAGGAAAGAGATCAATTGTCATGTCCGCCAGACAACTGCAGAGCACTACTTCTGACTTCCTTATATGAGAGCACAGGCTTGCTCCACGGAGCTGAAGAGAATCCCCTGTATCACCGAGCACCTGGATCTAGTCAGTGTCTGCCAAAGAGCACTGGGCAGTGCTGAGTGATCCTGTGTTGCTCTGTTGGGAGGGGACACAGCCCTATCCCCTGCTCCCTGGATCTGTGGGATATGGTGGTGGGTAAATCCTATGCAGTCATAGGGACAGCCTTGCACCCTGGACCTGCTGTGCGTTGATGAGGCTATTGTCTACTGTATAGGGATGGATTAGATTAGATCTCCCTGACCCGACTGGTCCATTTATACCAGGGACTGGTTACTGCCACAGCGATGGGAAGGCAAAACCCCCCCATCTGGGCTGCATCACATTTACTTATTTTATTCCCTCTCCTTTGCATTCACAGTCAGCATCAGACAGATCGAGTTGGGCAGATTTCAGCAGTGCCAGCTAATGACATTCTCTGGGATTGCTTTTTCTGGCTCTGAAATGCACCGAGGGGGCTTGGGTTGGGTTTTGTTTTTTGAGGGGGGGTTGTCAATGTTTTTTTCAGTCTCAAAGACTGCGCTTGTTGGAGCCGGTTCAGCTTAGTAAACACGAATTGCTGCAAGTGATCGAGTCCTGCATACAGTCAGGTTTTCCCCTGCAGAGTTCAATTTAGGAAACCCTAGTGCTCACTGTCCTATTGTGTTTGCACACAGTGAGTATGTGCTTCCATCCACAGAGCTGTCTCTGCACACACACACACACACACACACACACA